AGGGAACTGGGGAAGCAAGAAATGAAAGCTGGGCAACATGCCTGCTTTAGAATGTCTTCCTTCTACTTACACATCTTCCACAGGTCTCAGAATTTCCTTCCTCTCATCCTTTTTCTCCTGTCTTCATATCTACCAGAGTATCCACTGTTTATTCAACAACTACTACTTGATGGTCAGATACAAACAAACAAGCTAGGTGCTAATTAATAATGATACGAGTTTTGGTTGAGCACGGTGGCTCACACCTGTAATCCCAGCACTTTGGGAGGCTGAGGCAGGTGGATCACGAGGTCAGGAGTTCGAGACCAGCCTGGCCAACATGGTGAAACCCCGTCTTTATTAAAAATACAAACAATTAGCTGGGCATAGTGGTGGGCGCCTGTAATCCCAGCTACTCAGGAGGCTGAGACAGGAGAATAGCTTGAACCCAGGAGGCGGAGGTTACAGTGAGCTGAGATCACATCACTGCATTCTAGCTGGGGTGACAGAGTAAGACTCTGTCTCGAAAAAACAAATAAATAAATAAATAAATAAATAATACGAGTTTTCATATGCACACTTCTAACCCCTTTTCTTTTATATATTTCCTTCCTTATCCACTCACCTGTCTCCCTCTACTCCAGCCTCCTTACCCCAGAGGCCAGTCCTCAGGAAACCAAACACAAAGAAAGACCTCAGTCAGAAAGGCCATTTATTTATGTTTCAAGATGCTCACTGCCTCCTTTGTTTTGTCTCCTTTGCAGGCCTTCTCTCTTAGGCCTCTTCTTCTGAGGGTATGGATCCTGGGGGGAGATTATTCACCTCCATGCTTCCATTCCTCCCCAGCTATAGTGGGGGCATCATGAGAGAAGCCAAGCCACTGGCCCAGGATCACCCGGCATTTATGGTGGCTGCTCTGGCACAGTTCCTTGCCTTTATAGCCCCTCCAGTGATCCAGAAGGCCCTCTTTCTCCCCAAAGGAGAGATCACATATAGGGCAATGGTAGCTCTTCTGCTTCCAGTGGGTCTGCTGGTGTCTGACCAGCCTGGAAAATGAACTGAAAGACTTGCTGCAATGGAAGCAGTAGTTGGGTGGCTCTGTGAGGTGGGCCTTCTGGTGTCTGGAGAGATAGGATTTCTTGCTAAAAGTCAAAGGACAATGCGAGCAAGAGAAGACATTGAGTCTCGAGGGCTTCACTGGATGAGAGTTGGATCTGGCATCCTGACAGGGGGTTCCAATGATGGGTGCCTCGGTCCTGGTCACAGGTGCTTGGTTCTTAAGTACAGATGGCTGGTTCTGGGCCATAGGACCCTCAGTTCTAAATATGGTTTCCTGAGACCTGGCCACTGGTGCATGGTTCACATCCACAAGCCCCTGGATGGACCTCTGGCTTCTGGCAAGAGGTGTCTGTAATTCAACAGGGGTGCCTGGAATCCTCAAAGTACACTCTTGGTTTCCATCCACTGGCTCCTGGTTTTGGTGTATCTTCTGGTGGCGTTTGAGTTCAGACTGGTCCCGGAAGCTCTTCCCACACACGGAGCATGAATGGGGCCGGTAACCCAGATGGACACGGCGGTGACGACTTAGTCCAGAAGCATCACAGTAGGTCTTGTCACAGAGCGTGCAACAGAAGGGCCTCTCCCCAAGATGCATGCGTCTGTGATAGCTGAGGGACTTGGGGCTCCGAAACAACTTCCCACACTGGCTGCAGCTGTTAGTCAGCTTGGGATTGTGAACAAACTGGTGGCTATAGAGGTAGGAGCGCCTGCTGAAACACTTGCCACAGATGCGGCAAAAAAAGGGTGGCCTAGCCTGGGATGCTTGAAGCACCTGGGTCCTGTCCATAGACCCAACTGGGGCAGAGAGGGGGCACTGGCCGGCCCCTCTGCATGCAAAGAAGACCTTGTCATCACTAGTCCCCTCATCTCTCAGACTGGGATGTTGTTCTCGAAGCTCTTTCTTCTTACCTTCTGTAGTGAATGAGGAAGAATAACACAAAATTCCACTATAAGAACTCCAACAGAGGCCGGGCATGGTGGCTCACAACTGTAATCCCAGCACTTTGGGAGGCTGAGGCCAGCGGATCACCTGAGGTCAGGAGTTCGAAACCAGCCTGACCAACATGGTGAATCC